TGTGTGTGTGTGTGTGTGTGTGTGTGTGTGTGTGTGTGTGTGTGTGTTTTGCTTTCTCATGTTATTAGATTATAAAGGAATTAATCAAAATTATTATTTCTATTTGTCAAAAATCATACTATGGACCCACCTCTTTTACAAACCACTGACAAAATGCAGGAGAAATCCACTCTCTTGCATGGAAACCACAATCAATGAAGATGGCAGGTTTATTTGGTTTAGTTTTGCCAACCTATTGTGAAAAAAAAGAAAGGAAGAAATGTGATTCACCTCTTAGCACTCAGGGGTTAACTTCCATTCCCTTTCAATATGTGAATGTGAATTCACATTCAATATGTGAATCCTGCCACTCAAACTGTTTTTGTCTCTGGATGCTCACAGTGTTTAAGCTGAAAGCTTGCATTATTATTAGACTTATCAAGCCTACATTTTTACAAGAAGCTTGATCACCCTCTTAAACTATATTCCCAAACACTTAATTCTCAACTATTGTTGTTAGGTGATGTGACTATGACAACCAAATTACTAATTATGATAGTTGCTAACTTTATGAAAAAATTTCATCTCTACACTTATATTTTTTCTTTTAATTTGGCAATGGAATTGCAGATCAGAAGTGGCATTGAGAATGACGAAAACAAGTTGTTGATTTTTACTATAACATGGCCTAATAAATGAGAGTAGCTCTACAGATCAATTCCAACAACAGCTTGCAACTTGCAAACGAACTTGGAAAGCTTTTCTGGAAGAGGAGAATTTCATCACTTAGATGCTTACAGGTGTGTGGTAATATTTATAAGACTTCTCATATTTTCTTTCTAAATCAATCAAAAGCAATTATGTAAAATGCACATAGAATGAAAGAATCCAATAAATCTGAGCTTTATAGGATTTTTTTCTTTTAGATAAGCAGGAAAACTATAAAACAGATGCTAGTGAATCAAAATTTATTGATTTAAATCACTCAGCTCATGTTTAGAGATTGTTACCTTGAGGAGATGTATGGCACGTCCTTCAAATGTGGTTCCAATGGTTCTCCGAGAAATGAGGTCTGGATTACCATTGGCAACTTCTTGAATCCAAGCCTCTATCTACCAAATGGAATTGTCCTTGAATTAATGTGAAATTGTTGATTCAAGCCCCAAACTCCAGAAAAAGAATCAGAATCAGGGGTACCCATACCGTTTCCCACTTGTTGTACTTGGTGTAACTGTGTCCACTTGCACGGGTGTGGCTATCAAACTGGGCTTCCAGAACGTTTCTCACATTGCTTATCAATACCCTGTTGAAGTCAAATTGGGTGTTTCTTATGAGTATATTTCCTTTCAGGGAACACACAAGAAAATTAGAGCCACAGCTTTAGTGGATGCTGCAGTACCTGCACTGATTTACACACTGCCTTCTGACTGTTACTGAGTTATTTAAGGGAAATTCTATTATAAATTGCAAAATGTGAGACATTGAGTACCCCAAGGATCATGAGTATGATGAAATTTTACAGGGCCCATACATCAAATACTTTAGTGACGCTAAACACAGAAATGGTTTTCTTTGATATTCTTTGCCTCAGGATCATGGGCATCCACACAACAATGCATATCTGAATCATATTTCTTTTATTTTATTTTTTAAATCTTGGATATTTTCCTGATTTTAGCATTGAAAGCCCCGTGTCCCAGAAACCTACTCCCTATGTAATGTGAGAGTTGGCCACTGAAGGCCAATCTTCAGGATTTTAGGAAAACAACTTACTCGTTAGAAAACCACAAAACTATGAACAGTACTAAATACTTTTTAGGTAAAAAGACACTAGGTTTAAAGAACTAGTGTCTGTTCTAGAATATTAGTTAGCTCCTGCCTGGCTCTGAGTGGCATAAGCTATGATTCTCTTACCCTTTAGTAAATAATTAAATATAAATTATTTATTACTTTAATAAATAATTAAATATAAATTATTAATTACTTTAATAAATAACTAAATATAAATTATTAATTACTTTAATAAATAATTAAATATAAGTTATTAATTACTTTAATAAATAATTAAATATAAATTATTTATTACTTTAATAAATAATTAAGGAAATTAATAAGCAAGTAAGCAGAGAAGTTCAAAAGACTAATTATTTAGAGCCTTCCAAAAACAAAAACTATGTAAGGAAATGTTTTAGAATAAGCAAAAACATGTCTCAAAGATCCAATTAGCCAGGATTCTTCTCCTTTAAAAAAAATAAAAAATAAAAAAAATTCAGAAAAATTACTTAAGATTCTTGAGATGTCATGTTAAATATACAAATCTAAAATTCTTCGAAAGCTAGGATCCGTGTAAAAGAAAGAACATGTGGTGTTTGTCTTTGTGAGTCTGGGTTACCTCACTCAGGATCATATTTTCAAGTTCCACTCATTTTCCTGAAAATTTCATAATCTCGTTGTCTTTACAGCTGATTAAATTCTGTTGTGTAAATGTAATTTTAAAAAAAAGAAAGAAAAAAACAAGTGTTTCTTTATTGGTGGTTAGCCTGATAATCCAAGCAGAATCAGACAGAATCAATCCAGACAGAACCCAGATGCCTGCCTATTCCTATAAATTCAGTTGAAAATTTCTACATTAGGGTCATACGTATGTGTGAGTGAGTATGTGCATGCATATTTATCTTTATCTCCCATTATTACTTTGAGAGAAAAGTATGCTTGGAAGGGAAAAACATCTGAGATGTCCTTGATCTCTGAATATCCCAGACAAAACAGGGCCAATTTGAAAGCTTCTCTCATTCAAGGTTAAGTTTTGCAGTGGTTTTATCTGACACGAGAGAATTGTAGATACACATCAATCATCTTCTTTTGCCCTCTTGTACCAAGGGAAAGCTATCAGGGACACCCTATGAACCTCAAATGTAGTCCCCTTCCAATTGGTAAATTTGGGTATTAGCATGTGTCTGTATATAGAAAATACAATAAATTAATGCTAAATTTGAGTTCTAAGTAAATTCTTTCTTAAAACTTAAGTCTCTTACTGTTTTAAAAGATAAAAAGGAGTAAATCTTACAGTTTATTTCAGCAAAGAAATTTTATTTGGAATAGTCATCAAAATTTTGTTAATGAGTTAGTATTCTGTGTATCACCCCAAACTTAGTAGCTTATAGTCACATAGGTCTATTAAAGTATAATTCTGGAGGTTAAGAGTTACACATAGGTCTCACTGGGCTAATAAAAAGGTTATCAATATGGATATATTTTTTTTTCTGGAGCTTCTAGAAAAGACCTGATCCCTGGCTAACATTACCTCCTCCATCTATAAGGCAAGCTATAGTAAACTGACTCCTTGATTTCAGTCATTTGGGGACGACATTTGAAGATTAAAATTCAATTTCTTTCTTTATACTCAACATTTTTACTAGAGGTCCAAAAATTTGAGAGGAAAGTAGAAGGAATTATGAGTTGGGAATAAAAAGGTCAAGGTAATGGCTTGGCTCAATTTATATATGAACTTTAGAAAAATAATACACTCCCTGAGCCTTAATTTCATGATTTGAGAATGGGGCTTTTGATGAGAGGATACTCAATATGCCTTTCAATTCTAAGATGAATTAAACCCATTGTTCTTGGTTCTCTACATAGAAGTAAAATAAAAACTCTTTGTTTACAATCTTTATAAACTAAGAAAACAGAGATATTAAACTTTCAGCTAGAAAAACACTGGGAAAATTATCTCCAAGGATAATTGATAGTGAAAAAATAGTCAAACACAAACAAAAATGAAAAATATAAATCTGAAAATGAAAAGGAACCAACTGACAGAAAACTTTAAGATAACAATTTTTTTCAGTATCATCCAATAGAAAGAAGAAATCCTGCCAAACACAGATGAAATACTTGGAACGGAAGAAAGATCCAGTAGAAATGGCACATGATGTATACCTTAACTTTTTATTTTATTCATACATGGACCTAAGTCCAGGGCCTTACATATGCAATGTGAACATACAGTTGAGCTGTATCCCTAGTTTTTATTCATAAGACATGCAAGAAAGTATGTAAGTTACATGGCGTCTCACCAGGTGTCTGAGGAAAATATATCCTAAATTAACTGCCTGAAGACTTTCAGTAGACATCTCTTATTTAAAGCCGTAATCATGGCCATTGTTAGTATTCAGCAATCAGTGTTAGATGGATGAATCAATGAAGCTCATAGAACATGTAGTTATCCTTTTAACACAGCCAACTTCAAGTTCAAATGACTTAGAGAAGACTTAGCAGCTATAAAAGACTTCTGGTAGTGTTTTGTTGCAAAAAGAGACGTTCTTTTAGAATTCTGATGTAAGCATTTTTTATCACTTACAATTCAGATGACAGGTTATTAAAAAAACATTTTGAATTAAAGATGATGCTCAATAATAAAAATATCCCTTTGCACCTTAGAAAAGAGCATTGGAAGACTTTTATTGTTGATCAGATTGAAATGCAATGCTAGCTACTTGAAAGCTGGGGTTCACCTCAAATGATGCTTTGCAGCATTTTAGTTTGATGGCTTTATTAGATTTAGAACAAAATTTTATTATACAAAATATTATTAAACAGTTACTATTGTAAAAGCTTAAAACAATGCCTCTTAATATAGTAAGGGTGTCATTGTGGCTCTAAAATACATAAACATATACACTATATACTTTCATATGTTTTTTATGATCGTGTCATCCAGTTTCCAATTAATTTTTTAAAACTTGCAAGCAAATTAGATCACTGTGATTCTCAGTAAGATACAGAATATTATACCTGGAAAAGACAGGGAGACATGGTATAGTTTTGCCTCCTCTCTTGCCCCACAGATTCTGGAAACTGGACTATTAAATCACTAATCTGTTGGTCATTATTATTCAAAGACACTTGCCTGCACAATATTTTTTAAGATTTTTTTTAAAAATAAATATGTGTATGAGTGTCTTCCCTGCTTGTTTGCCTATGTACCATGTTCATGTAGTGCCTATGAAGGACAGAAGAGGGCATTATATCCCTTGGAACTAGAGTTACAGATGGTTATGGGCCACCATCTGGGAGCTGGGGATTAAATGCTCCATCCTCTGCAAGAGCAGCCAGTGCCCTGAGCCATCTCTCCAGCCCTATGCTAAGTTTCAATATGATAGTCCAAGCAGTTAGCAACATTAAGTCTCTGATTTGAAGTAAGGAAGAGATGACTTTCTTGGGATCTTTAGGAAGAGGCCTTGCAGAGTACTGTCAACCAAAGGATTGTGTCAATTTAGCTTCAAACAAGACTCTAAAGGCCAATATTTTTCAATCTCTACTCTTTCTACATTCAAGGATACAATCTTAGCTTTTGAAACTATGGTGCGGGAGAATTGTCTGTATTCTGTCAATCATGTTTTAAATAAATGCTGATTGGCCAGGCAGGAAGTATATGTGGGAAAACCAAACAGGAAGTAAAAATGATGCAATGAGAACAGGAAAATTCTGGAAAGGAGGAAGTTGATTCCTCACAGTCCTGCCCAGACCACATAAGAAGCAAGATGTAATCACTCTGGCTGAGAAAGGTACCGAGCCATGTGGCTAACAAAGATAAGAATAATGGGTTGATATAAGCTACAAGAGCTAGTAAGAAGCCTGAGCTAATGGGTCAATCAGTTCTATAACTTATGGAGATCTCTGTGTAATTTTCTTTAGGGCTAAACAGCTGTGGGAACTGGGCAGGACAGAAAACCCCATGCTAGCTGGCCCTCATGTTACAGAACTATAGTTTATCTTTCTTTTGGTACACATTTTGAAATTTGTTCCATGATAAAACTCAAGATATGACTGAAATTGCTGAATGATACAAGTAATAGAGAAGAGTATAAGATCCGCTGTACATATTTGAACCACATTTGGTGGAACTTCTGCACTTGATAGTTTCTAAATATATAAAAACATTTAACTGTAAGTTTTTGTCAGTGAGAAACCAGCTTATACAAACTAATTACTATCTGAAGTTATAACAGGGTATATAAGGTACGCAGCTTATGACTTGCACAGTTATTGCTGGAGTGATCTTCCAGGATTCCTGGGAACTTTTTTATTATTCAGAAATATTATATATTACTTAGAAATAAATATTCTAAACAGAAATGCAAACATTAAAGGGGAACACTCCATACTGCAATACACAACATGCACCCATAACCACATGGAATCTGCTGTTAGAAAAAGGAAGGGAATCTTCTACTTTATGTTGTTATGAGAACTGACAGGAGGTTGGAAAATCTCAATGTATAAATGTAAAAAATAATGATGTAATATATGAACAGAATCAAGACATCTTTTTGGTTTCTACTTGTATAGTTCACAATCACAATTCTTTGCTTTTGTGGGAGAATTCTATAGAAACTCATCTTTAAGTAGGTTATTAAGGCATTTCAATATGAGAATTTAGACGTCCTGGCCAGACTATAAGAACAAAGTATCAGACATGACTCTTAATGTGCAATTTACAAGGTTATATTTTGTTTTTAAGAGTAAAACCTATTAAGGTAGCATTTTGATACTTTTCTTAGTGAGGATCAGAGAGTTAAGTCAGATAAGGCATGATAATGGAGCAAACCATAGCAGTCATGTGATATCTTGAAAAGCTACCATATTGTGTTGGAGAGATAACACAGCATTCAAGAGTAGGCACTTCTAGCAGACTTGAGTTTGTTTCCCTGCATGGACATCAGGAAATCTACAACAGCCAGTAACTCCATTTCCAGAGAATTTGATAGCCTTTTTGGCCTCTGAAAGCACTGTACTCATGTACACAAACCCACACTCATACAGACACATACATGTATAATTTTTAAATATATAAGTCATTAAAAAGGCAAGTGCATTTTCTATCTTTGTACAATAGTAAACCAGAAAAGAACTTTCAATAGTGGTAAGATTATAAATGCAAATTAATAGCATATTGTTCACTTATCACTGTCATCTTTCCTCATTGCATCCTCATCCTTTGGCTTCAGCTGAGGCTGGGAAACTTAAGCAAATCTTCAGGTTTCATGCCAGGAATTTGCAGAGGCAATGATAGACACTGGTATGGTTTTCTCCAAAGCATTTTCTGGTTGTCTATGCCACTTCTGATAATGGCATAAGTTTTATTGTTGACTTCTGACATGTTCCTTGACACAGACACTATTTTCTACATTTTTAAGATGCAAAAACCCAATAAAGTAATTTTGATGCTAAAATTGTGTACTTCATATTTTCTCAAAGCATAATGCATATTTGCATGTTTGATCAGGGATTTCTGGATAAGCATTTGCACATCCTAGACTAAAATTCAAGAACTTTTTGTTCCTCCTTTAGCCATCCCTGAAGGAAGAGATGCTGCTGAGTCAGCATGCTCTCTCCTAACTCTAAGCTGTAGCCTGTAATCTGTTCTCTACCCACAGGATGGCTTTTCCATGTTGTAGTTTGGCTGACCCCTACATGCACCTATTTCAACATGAGGTCCCAGCATGACCCACTTCCTGCCTATTCTCTCTCTCTCTCTCAGTTCATTTCTCAACCAAAATCTCAATTTTTCTTTTGGTGATCCTTCCATGAGCCATACATTTCATCCCTTCTGCTCAATTTCCAGCGCTTTGCTCTTCCTAGTAACTATTTTACATCACTACAATCCCTCATTTTTGAAGTTTATCTTCTCCTAATGAATGTAAAGTCCTAGGCGCCCTGTTCTGTATCTAATTACCCGGATACTAAATCTATTTTGGGTTGTCAGCCAATGGACAACTTTCTCTTCTTTAAAAGACACTCTCACTTGAATGTTGTAGACATAACAATGTAGTATTTGGGGAGAGCAATCTTACAGTTTATTCAACTCCACTCTTGTTATTTAGAGTTCATGTTCTTTTCTTTTGACTTTTCTTCATGACTCCCACTGGTGGTGGGGGTCCTTAAAAAGGATATATTATCTTTAGTTTTACACTACAGGAGCATGAAGAACCCTCACTGCCCAAAAGAGGTGTGGCTGGCCACCCAGAGAGAGGAGTTGAGGATAAATCTAGATCCAGACGATAACAATGTCCTATGGCTTGGCCTTGACTCTCTATATAATTTTTAAAGCAGTAGTAGGCCATATATTTACCTGGTTAGAGACTGAAAAACATTTTCATTAAACCATTAAATATTAATCTATGTGGTCTGGTGCCAGCGCCACCATTGCCACTCTGTGTGGGAAAATATTCCCTTCTCATTTTATCTTCTCTGGGTTATTCACAGACTTAATAAAAGGGAAGGGAATTTTGATAGCTATAAAGTATAAACTTACTCATAGTGAAATTCATTCTGCTCCAGAAATTTCTCCACAGTTGCAACATCTTCTGCTTTAACATGAAAGTCAACTGTAGTGAGAGGTTTCACTTGTGTAGCAGAATCTGGTTTCCAGAAATCAATCTGAACAGAAAGAAATATGAAATAAACATTTATAGTTCAATGACAAATTAGTATATGAAAGCATCTGAATGCTCTACTTCATAAAATTATCTTAAAACTTCCGAACTTCATGAAATCTCCTATAAATATCTAATTTGAATTAGAAAGAATCAACAAGTTTTATGCCAAAAAAAATGTCTACAAGGCTGGGGAGATGATTTTGTGTGTAAGAGTGTTTGCTGCATACGCATGAAGTCTGAGTTCAAATGCCCAGAACATATGCTACAAAACAAGCTGTGTTTTGGGAACTTCTTCAGCTAATAGCCTTTGAGCTCCCAGCCTACATTGAATGTGATCTCAAGTACTATAATACAGATGAAAAGTGTGCACGGCTCCCCCCCCTCCTTTTTTTTTCTCCTGGATTCTGTTCCAGTTCCCAATGCATGCAGAGTACTGCAGTTCACTATTCTTACTGTGAGCTTATCCCCAAATAAATAAACTTTTGTTATATTCTATTCCAGGCTATTGTTGAACTCTTTGATGCTACCACAATATGAGTGTAGCTGCACGTACCAAAAACACCAGTGTTTAGTGAGGAGCAGGGAGAGCAAAGATAGAAAGGTCCAAGGCTGGCTGCCAGTCTTGTTCCAGGTACAGTGAAAAACCCTGTCTCAAGGGAGTAAGGTAGAGAATGATAGATGAGATATCTGACATCCACCTCTGGCCTCTGTGTGCACAGATGGGTATATACAGCAGCAGCCAATCAAAGGTGCACATAAACCTTATACACATACACTGCATTATCACAAGCACACATACACACTCACACACAAATACATACAGACATATATGTAAAATTGAAACAATGATTAACAAAAAGCATGAAGAACATAATAGTTTCTCATAATACTAGTTTATTATAGTATTATCTAGCTGTCACTTTCTGTTTTCCAATTTTTGGGACACTTGCTTATTATATTATTATATATTATACTATATATTATTATATTTTAAATTATGATAATATTATGTATACAATATTATATATTGCTGTCTCTGTGATAATTGATAAAGCTGCTGGGTGATAGTAAGTCCACTACATAGCAAAAAGGTAGTAAAGAGAATTTGAGCTTCCCTCTCATCATCTTGGAACTTATTTCTGTGAAAGTCACAGTATTATGAGTACAAGAGCATCATCCCTATGTGTTCTCCAGAGTGCTCAGAAACAAAATACTCTTGAGTGATCTGTAGTATGCTGAGATTTCTATCTTATTTAATAACTGTTATTGGGACATATCTCATAATGGGTTTCAGGTTGGTGACACAATAGTGGGTTAATCAAATATGATTTTTGTTTTCTTGAGGAAAACTTTAGAGAAAAGTAGGAAATGATAGTGTGACTGACACAATTGATTATTCTAATGCTTTTATTCACGTATAAATCATCACAAATATTTATTTTCATGGAAAAATATCAAATAGGTTGATATTTTTATTTGATAACAAGTAGATTGTTGTACAGACGCTTTTCTATTTCTACTTTAAATTGAACAGAGGCCTGGAAGTCTGTGATAAATCTGACATTAGGTCTTGCCTTGCTACTGTGTCTCACTCAATACCTGGCTAGATGTTTGTAATCTAGACTCAGGGTAATATATGACTACTGCTGATACGTGGGGCCATTCTTGAGAAACTTGTAAGGACAGATTTAGTGGCTGTTCGCCTGAAACTGAAGAGGCAAGGTTTTAAGGCAACCAAGTTTCTGATGTGCTTGCATGGAATCTAGTCACTGTAGCTGGCCCTGATGAACTAGTACTGGATGGTGAGCCACTGTGAAGGCGATAGAGGATGCCAGGACAGAAGGACATGTGATTCCAATGAGAGGGATCTTAGAAAAAAAGTGTGAGTGTGAATATAACAGACAGTTAATTGGCTACTTTATCAGTAGGTAGGAGAGGATTGGTTAAAGAGTATAACTCAGAATTGAAGTAGGGAGGATGCAGATTGGAGCTAAAATGACAGTGGTGATGATATAAAGGTAGACCACAGCAAACACAGAGGAAGTAACACAGGTGAAATAACAAAGCCAGCACTATAAAGGGAAAAGCTGAGGATAGAAGAGAACACTAACTCTAACTTTGTGTTTCTGACCTGCCAATATCATCTTAGTTGTAGACACAGGGATTTAACATTGGTGACCTCAAAGTGTCTGTGGCCAACATTGACAGTGCTTGTCTCACGTGTAATTACTGTGACTTTTTAGTGTACTCAGGACCTCACTTCCAAGAACTATATCTTTTCTTTTCTTCCAAAATCATGAAAAGACAAATAAATGCTCCAAGTAGACAGGGGATGCCGCAAAAATTACTCAGGGAACATACTGAATATATGACCTTAGGAAATAACTTCTAGGTTTTAAACCCATTAGTCTCATAGGTGGAAGAATTTTGAAATGTGTGGTTTGTACCATTTCCTGGAGATTCCCTGTGGGTCACTCTTCAGTTACTCTTTGTGACAGTGGTTTATTAATGCTGCATTGACTGTGTTCCCGGCTCTGTGTCACCTCTCCCCCATGTTTACATGATGCTCACTGTACTTTCTAATGAGCTACTTTTCTTTCAGTCTTGATTCTGGGTACTTATCGAGATGTTAATTTTCTGCTCAGAACAACAAATGCCTGCTTGATATGTTTGAGGGTGGTTCTAACATAACCTCTCTTTCTGTTATCAACCTGTAAATTACGTTTTCTGACTTTCTCACTTCTTACTCATTTTCCTAGCTCTGCTAAATATTGGAAAAATAGAAGTGTTTGTGTAACTTTTCTTGAACTTCTGCTGTAAGAATGATGGATTCTTGAAGAGGGATTATTATAATGTTGAACAACACTTACAGGCCTAATTTGAGGCTGTTCAATATTTTCAATTTGAAAGGCTAAATATAGAGCACAGTGTTAGAGTGCTTATGTACTCTAGGGAAATCTCTGGACTCCATCTGACACCTAGCCCTGCAAAACGAAACACTAGAACATTCCTTTTGACATACAGACAGTTAGTGTGGTTAACATCCACTAATGTGGACCACTGAGCACTGTGAGTGTGATGCAGACCTGCAGTCCTGGAGACAGACCCATTGCTTCTTCAGAACCAGGGAAACAGAAGTAACACTGTATTCTCACAGTGGTTACCAATTACCAAGTGGTTACAAATGATAACATAAGGAAGGAGGATGAATTTCAGGAGATAGACTTGTGAAGGAGAATTAAGGAAGTGAGGTGAGATATAAGATAAAAAAATATGAGAAATTGAGCTATATTGGTCAGTATTATAAAACTAAAACTGTAACATTATATTACAGAGCACTTAGTGACAGAGATCCACATGGAACATTTGTTGAGTTATAAATGACTATCTCTAAGTGGTAATCTTGTAAGACTATAAATCTAGTCAATCAGATGTGGGTAACTTGAGTCCCTACTAAAATACAGTACACAAAGGCAAGATAAACTGATGTAGCAATGTGAGATTCAGGCTGGGTATGTTGCTCAGGTGGGACAGTGCTTGCCTAGACCGAAAGTTCAGGATCTGGTCTCCAGTACCGCATAAAGCCATACATGAGTGTGAAGGCCTGTAATCTCAGTACTTAGAAGGTAAAAACTGGAAGACAAGAAATCCAAAGTTATCCTCTGCTACATAGCGTATTCAAGGTGAGTCTGGGCAACATGAGTTTCTTTCTTTCCTGTTAGATTCCTTGGAAGGTAAGTTTAGCAGATAAGAGCAAAACTATTGGTACTGGGGAATTAGAGTTTTCACAAATATGCACTGTTTGTTTCACACTGTGAGTGACTGGGAATCAAACAAGCAGGTCTCTGATTTATCTTGAGGATTTTTTTCTCACTTGAAAGTAAAGCAATTTCTACTGTAGGCCTAATTTAGACAGCAGGAAGGAACTTTTTGATATGTCAACAATAAAAGAGATAGTAATAATTTTACTTTATACATAGAAAAATATACTTAAAAGAGAATCCAAAGAAAACCCAGAGGACAGAGAGTGTCACTATAAATGCCTTGAGTGAAAGGACCAATTATAATGTGAGTGTAAGGGGTACAATAAAAGCCCCACTCTGCAATTACACATCACAAGACAGAAAATGCTGAAGCACACTGTGGCTCTGATGCTTCAATACATCCAGCTCTTGAAAGGACATGTTCAAAAGCTGGGAGGAAGGACACACTGACCAAGGATAAATTAAAAGACTAAGATGCTCCTTTGATGATCTTATCAGGAAGGCTACATCCCACAATCCACTGCACTAAGCAGAACTTAGACCTTTTGAAAATTTATGATGGAAATAAAGAAAAACATAAGGAAGAAGCATGTGACTTTCTGTGTTGAGCTGGAGTGTGCTGCCACAGCTGCGGGAAAGCTGGTGTATTTATGTCTCCTGTGACTTCCATCTTTCCCAAGACTTTTCAGCTTCCAAAGAGAACATTGAGGTTCACGGTAGATGAGGAGAGAAGTGATTATACTGTCATGGAAACTGTATTCAAAAGCTCAATCCAATGACACACTTATATTCCTATTAGAACTCTTACAACAACCCTCTTGGGAGACAATATTACTACCATCACAAATGAGGAAGTTGAGGTGCAGAGATGAGCACAAGATTAGCTACAAGTGGTTTATCCAGAAACTAAGCCTGGTGAATCTGAGACCAGCCCCTCTGCTTGACATAATGAAATGGAAGAATTTAGATGACTAAAACAGTGTGTTGGATAGCATTGCTATATTGAGGAATAAAAAAGGTCTAGGGGGTCACTGGGGGAGGGCAGAAATTCCTTGGGAAATAGATGAAGAAGAAATGGTAACCTCTGGGACCCAGAATTGATGCCAATAAGCTACAGACCCAACCTGAAACAGATGAACCATGAATGCTCAGGAAAAGGAAGAGTGATACCTGGGAGGCATCATGGGTTAAAGTCCCAGTTAATTTAATCTGATAATTGGAAGATTCAACTACTAGCCTTGTTCTCTGAAACATTTGATAAACTATCTCTCCTGATAAATAAGCCAGAAAGCTACACAGTGCTATCTTTAGATAATACCCAGCTTACATAAGATAGTTGAGCATACTTATCCTAAGGAGAGCAAGCTGATGAATCATTTTCCTTTTAAATGCCCTACATGGTACATTGGAGACTGATGATTAAAACGTATTAACTAAATGAACTATAATGAAGGTCTCTTTGTGCCCCTTATTTACTCAACATTTTCTTCACCCATGAAAAGCATAAATCAAGAAGATATGCTCGGGACACTGGAGAGGTGGCTCAGAGGTGAAGAGAACTGGGTGCTCCTCCAGACAACCTGGGTCTGATTCCCAGTACCCAGATGGTGATTCACAACCATTTGTAACTCCAGTCCTAGAGGATCTAACCTTGTTAAAAGAATTTCAATATGTTGGAAACAGGCTATAAATGTAAATTTTGAAAGGCAAGTCTAAAATCCCAAATTTATATTAAGGTGAGCACTGAAAAGAGAGGACTACTTGCTTGAGGGTAATTTGTGTGACAAAAAAAATGATTCATATTGGACCCAAGTTTAGTATAAGTAGAGTGTGTTCTAGTATCCCTGAGGTGTGGAAAGGTATGTTAGACCAGAGTAATAAATGTCTGTTATTCAATGAAGGCAAGCGATAGTCCTATAGTATATATCCATCAAGGTACTCCTGGAGGCCCACCGCCAATTATGAAAGATAAACTTTCAAAACAAAATAGGAAGATTGAACTGTCTCCAGAGGTGACCCAAATGCTCCAGACTCTGTAAGCTAATAAAAGGAAAGGTGATAGAAAAGCAAAGATGAAAAACCTTAGCGCTAACTGGCATCTGACTCAGTTGCTTCTAACGAGTCCAAGTTAGAAGGAAGGCACCTCCATCTGGATAGATTACAGAAAACCAACAGGGTGGTTTGTAAAGTGTTCCTATTGTCCCTAGAAGCAATTACTAATCAACGCTAGCAAGTCAGGATGCCACTTCCTAGCAGAAAATTCTAGATTTGAAAGAAAGGCTGGAGTAGATGACTGTGTTCTCTTTCAACTCAAGCTTCACATTTTATGATTATGACAATTTCTGCCCTTTTTACACCATTTCTCCACGTCTACCTTAAAAGTGAAAACAGAAATAATACACTTAGATGATACATAAATAAATAGATGGATGGGTGGATGAACAGATAGATACAAGTGTGGACTGGCGGATGGACAGGCAGACGGACACCTAAGAGCTAGGACATTGTTTTGCCTCACATTCTCAAGAATAAATAACATTGACCCAGATGGTACTACTTGTACTCAGAAGTAGATTTCTGTCACACTATACACAGAAGAAAAAAATGTAAATTCTAATCTCATGATATTTTTTGAGTAGCATGATTTTATTTTTTTAAACCAAAAGATTAATATGGAAATCACTTGTGAGTTTTACCTTCTTTTTCTCTCTCAATTAAGGCTACCACAGTCAAGGCCAGGGAAACTCAAGTTCTGTGATTAGAAATGAGAGAAAATCAAAGGGAAATATGACACATGGTTTACGGAAATGAATTTGAAGTTGGAAAAAAGCCTGGTTTTTCAGTCATTTCCAAATTGGTCATTTTTCTCCTTTGACTTGGAAGGGAAGTGACTTGCATGTTAGATGTTCTATGACCTTCAGGACAGAGCCTACTTATTGAACTGTCATTGCCAGCTCTTCTAAAAGGTTGGTTGGATTTATAACACATCAGGGCTTGCTACAATCTAATTTAAGCAGCAAAAGAAAGCACTGTGGCATTAAGTACTTTTCAAGTTTATGTCTTGCATATAAAATTTCTGCAGTAATATTTCCTGTCATTGCTCTTTGGTAGAAACAACGTAAATCAGGCTTTAAAGTTAGTGTAAAGCAGAGAACTGTCACTTTACCTGCTTGCTGTTGGCCAGCTCCTGAATTAAATTGATATGATCTTCATCAGGTACACTGACACGGAACACCTGATTGCTAAATGGTGAAAATAATGAATAGAAACTTAAATTTCAGCAATGTGTCTGAAATTATCAAACTTGCTTTGTAAGGAAGGATGAATTTACCCATCAAAGTCCTCCGGAGCAGGTTGAGCCAGAGCCACACTCACCAGAGCCAGTAGCAGCAACATTGTATCTGATAAAGACTCCTCCGCAGCAGGATCCCACCTGCTTTTATAATCCAGAGTGTTCTTTCTGTTCTCCAGGTTAAAAAAGGGGGGGCACTGTCAGATCTTGATTAGTAATTTTCCTGGCACAGTTACTTTGGTAGGCATATAAAGTCTAAGAAGTTATCTTTCTCAACACCTGTAGAAAGAGCAAATCATCTCACGTTCCAGTTTGCACAGAACTAGTTTGTATAGGTCTAGTTTGCACGTTAAACCTAGAACCATTGGGAGGGATTAAATAAAATCTATTTTGTAGTCTTTTCATTTTCATTTTGAAATAAGATTTACATACAGTAAATCAGGTATATTAAAGTATGTTTAATGGGATTTGGCAAATCTATAATCTCGCAAAGGCAGAAGACATTTTCTAGCTTAAGAAATTTCATTAGCACCTTGTCTTATATATTTTAAAACTTCCTTCAAGAAATTACTATTGAAGTTTTTAGCTATATATTAATTTTGTCTATTCAAACTTTATGTAAATGAGACTATATTTACCATGTGCATTCCTTTATATAACAACTTCTTTTGTTTTTGAGATTAATCATCTTTTAATATTCATGTCTTTCTACATACAATCACCATTTCACTCTGAGCATACTCCAATTTTTCTAGTTGCTTTTATCATCTGTAACTTTGTGCTACTATAAATAACACTTGAACAAACATTTTGCACAAGTCTTTTTCTTGACATATACTTCCATTTGGGTGAAATTGATGAATAATAATTTGGATGCAGGCTTACCATGATCCTACCAAGCATTTTCCGCAGTGTTTACATGTCTTTAAACTTTGGCTAGTTGCTTTAAATTCTCTACATTTGTCATCTTTCATTCTGCTAATTCTAGTAACTGTGAAATGACTTCAAAATGATTGTAGGTTGCATCTTCCCAATAACTGAAAATGCTCAAGACCCTTTCATGTGTTTACTGACAATTTATGAATCTAGTTTTGTTAAGTATCTACTGAACTATTTTGAAAAGAAATTCATTGCTTGCTTTTTTCTCTTCATTTTTTGTCAGGACTTCTTTATAAATCTTGAATATATATGTACTTTAAAACATTTTTTATTTGTGAGTGTGCACATACAGCTGTGTGTGTGTATGTGTTTGTGTGTGTAGGACTTCTTTATACAGCTTAGACACATTTTTAAAAATGTTATTTGTGTATATGTGTGCACATATATTTGCATGTGGTAATGTATATGAGTTTGGAGGATAACTTTCAGGAGTCTTTCCTCTTCTTTCACTGTGGGTTAGAATGATTAACGACCGGGCATTAGGCTACAGCAGCTCCTGAATTAAATTGATATGATCTTCATCAGGTACACTGACACAGAACACCTGATTGCTAAATGGTGAAAATAATGAATAGAAACTTAAATTTCAGAAATGTGTCTGAAATTACCAAAAGAATGAATTTACCCATCAAAGTCCTCGGGAGAAGGTTGAGCCAGGGCACACATACCAGAGCCAGTAGCAGCAACATTGTATCTGATTAAGGTGATTTTTATCTTCTGAGTCATCTAATGGGCCCTGAAGACAGGTTTGTTTGTTGGAAATCTATGCTGCAAATATTTCTTGCTGGACTAGAGTTTACATTTTCATTAATGTTTTCTTTAGAGATATAGAAGTTTTATGTTTTCTTAAAGTTTCATTTGTTTCCAGTTTTTATAATTAGAGTCTGTTTACCCTTTTCTCAAAGAGATTATTGTCTATCCCAGGATCTCAACCACATTCCCCTGTTTTCTTACAGAAGCTTTGCCATTTTAGTTTTTTTGTATAGTGTTAACTAATTTTTAAATATTTGGGTATTCAGTAGATCCAGTTTTCTTTCCTTGCTGAATTACTTTGGATTCTTTGTCAAAATGTATTATCCATGCATGTCATGAGGCCATTTCTGAACTTCCAGTTATTCTCCATGAACCTTTTGGTCTAATGTAAAATACTACTACAGTGTCTTGGTTACTATTTCTTTTTTTTTCACTTTTATATTAGCTTATTATGTTGCTTTATAAATAATACCGTCCAAAATTTCCACCTTCTCCTTTCCTCCCATTTCCCTTTCACTCCCCTACTCCCTCCCCCTCCAGTCCTAAGAGAGGAAAGGGTCTCCTGCCCTGTGGAAAGTCCAAGGCCCTTCCCCCTCCATCCAGGCCTAGGAAGGTGTGCATCCAAAAACACTAGGATCCCAAAAAGCCAGTACATGCAGTAGAATCAAATCCCAGTGCCATTATTATTGGCTTCTCAGTCAGTCCCCATTATCAACCACATTCAGAGAGTCTGGTTTAATCACATGCTCGTTCAGCCCCAGTTCAGCTGGCCTTGGCGATCTCCCACTGAGATCATCCACCATCTCAGTGGGTGGATGAACCCTTTGCGGTCCTGACTTCCTTGTTCATGTTCTCCCTCCTTCTGCTCTTCATTTGGACCTTGGGAGCGCAGTCCATTGCTCCAATGTGGGTCTCTGTTTCTATCTCCAGCCATCGCCAGATGAAGGTTCTATGGTGATATTCAAAATATTCATCAGTGTGGCTATGGGACAAGGTCAGTTCAGACACCCTCTCCTCTACTGCCCAAGGACCTAGCTGGGAACATCCCCTCAGACACCTGGGAACACCTCTGGAGCCAAGTCTCGTGCCAACCTTAAGATGGCTCCCTTAATTAAGATATCTTCTTCTCTGCTCCCATAGCCGCCCTTCCTCCATCTCAACCATCTCACTCCCACAAGCTCTCCCCAATCATCCCCTTCTCCCTTCTCTCTCTTTTTCTCCTGTTCCCCCACTCTACCCCCCACCCCTATGCTTCCAACTTTTCCCCGGCAATCTTGTCTTCTTCCAATTTTCAGGAGGATCTATATATGCATTTCTTTGGGTTCACCTTATTATTTAGCTTCTCTAAAATCAAAAACATCAATGATAACCTATGATGGAGAGTTTTGTTCTTTAAAAAATAATGTTTGGGTGACGTGATCACTAGTCCAGGCAGAGACAGCTAGAGCGGTACAGATTCCCTGCAGTGAGCGCCAGAGCTGGCAGGAGCGTGTTCTGGACAGGCTAGTACCATGCGGCAGGGAGAGTCAGGCGGGCGGGTGACCAGGTGGTGGATAAAAGGCTTACAGGACATAGTAAATAGACATAAGGATAAACATAAAGGTAAACATTTATTACTTAAAGAAGAGACAGAGAGACAGAGAGACATGGAGACATAGAGGAGACATGTGTGCACACACCAAGAAAGGGAACAGAAAAGGGAGTTAAGATGGCGATGGGAGGTCAGAAGTCGCTGGGAGTGGGCGTGGCTTACCCCTTAAAGGGACCAGACCAAAAGAATAACAGAGAGGATGTGGAGTAAGGGGAACACTCATCCATTGCTGGTGGGAATGCAAACTTGGGCAGTCACTTTGGAAATCAGCGTGGCGGTTTCTCAGGAAACTGGGAGCCAACCTACCTCAGGATCCAGCAATTCCACTCTTGGGAATATACCCAAAAGATGCCCTATTGTACTACAAAAGCATTTATTCAACCACGTTCATAGCAGCACTATTTGTAATAGCCACAACATGGAAACAACCTAGGTGCTCCTCAATGAAAGAATGGATAAAGAAAGTGTGGCACATATACACATTAGAGTTCTACTCAGCAGTAAAAAAACAATGACATCTTGAATTTTGCATGCAAATGGATGGAAATAGAAAACACTATGCTGAGTGAGATAACCCAGACCCCAAAAGATGAATACAGTATATACTCACTCATTAGTGGATTCTAGCCATAAACAAAGGCCATTGAGCCACTAACTTGTAATCCTAGAGAAGCTAAATAAGAAGGTGAACCCAAAGAAAAACATATATAGATCTTCCTGGAAATTGGTTACTATTTCTTAAAGCACGCCTTAAGATCAAGCAGTAGAATCTTAATTTTTTGTTTGTTTGTTTTTTGAGACAGGGTTTGTATGTGTAACAGCACTGGCTATCCTGGAACTCTCTTTGAGAACATGTTGGACTCAAACTCACAAAGATCTGCTTGCTTCTGCCTCCCGAATGCTGGAATTAAAAGTGTGTGCTCCACCACACATGGAGAAATCTGTTCACTCATAATATTGTGTTTGTTGTGGTAAGAACTTTACATTTACATATATATTTTAATTTTCATGAAAAACTTTACTTTCACTGGGATTTGCACCAGATGTATATACAAATTTGAGGATAAATTATATTGTTATACTGGGTCTTTTAAAAGTAATGCTTGCCTGATTTTTTTTTGGCAATCCACAAACTAGCTAGTTACCCTGGATAGTCCCAAGCATTTTGGCGGAAGACATGAAACTGAAGTCAGAAGCAAAGGAGTTCATTATTCATGGTTTCGCATGAAACACAAGAGTTTAATTTTTATCAGTTTTATTTCTTCTTGGTGGGATTGAAATCTTGTATGGACCAGCTAGCTCATGTAGATCTGTACCTTGTGTCACAAGGGAAGGCTACTGAATTTAGAAAACCATCTCATGAAGTGGATGTTTGCAAATTCAGGCAAGCTTTATTCCAAAGAAGTTTTATTATCCTGGTATCAAATAGGCCTTTCCTTGTGTTGGAGTAAGGGCAAAGAAAGAACATAACGTCTCCATTTTATGCTTTTCAAAATACAGGGACAGTGCAAATAAAGCTGTCTTAAAAATGGGGAAATAGTATGACTCACAGTGAATCGGATCTTAACAATTCTAAGTTGTTCTTACCTTCTTTAATGGACCTTCCCATTAATATGTCACTTGCTTAAATACTTCAGTTAATCTGATTTAAGAGAACTGGAATTAAATACATTTAGCCGGTCTAACATGGCATGAACTAGGCCTAATATTGATGGAATTTCATGTAATATAATGAAGTTGGTCTGTAGCACTGATATCAGGGCTTCATGCCCAAGGTATTGGATCCAATGAGTAGAAAAATTTGCCTTCAAAACTTGACAGATTTCTGAAGTTTCAGTATTGACTGCTTTAATTCTCATTCATTCTGACTAAAAGAAGATCC